TCATGCGGCCAGAGCACTCAGAGCATCCAGAGCTTACTGGGAGACAAATGGGAGACAAATGGCAGACAAGTGTGAAATCATGCGGCCAGAGCACTAGAGCATCCAGAGCTTACTGGGAGACAAGTGGGAGACAAGTGTGAAATCATGCCAGAGCACTCAGAGCATCCAGAGCTTACTGGGAGACAAGTGGGAGACAAGTGGGAGACAAATGGAAGACAAGTACGAAATCATGCGGCCAGAGCACTGAGAGCATCCAGAGCTTACTGGGAGACAAGTGGGAGACAAATGGGAGACAAATGGGAGACGAATGGGAGACAAGTATAAAATCATGCGGCCAGAGCACTGAGAGCATCCAGAGCTCACTGGGGGACAAGTGGGAGACAAGTGGGAGACAAATGGGAGACAAGTATAAAATCATGCGGCCAGCGCACTCAGAGCATCCAGAGCTTACTGGGAGACAAGTGGGAGACAAATGGGACAAAAGTATAAAATCATGCGGCCAGAGCACTCAGAGCATCCAGAGCTTACTGGGAGACAAGTGTGAAATCATGCGGCCAGAGCACTCAGAGCATCCAGAGCTTACTCGGAGACAAGTGGGAGACAAATGGGAGACAAGTGTGAAATCATGCGGCCAAGCACTCAGAGCATCCAGAGCTTACTGAGAGACAAGTGGGAGACAAGTGGGAGACAAGGGTGAAATCATGCGGCCAGGAACACAAGCCCGGAGACAAACTCAAAATCATCCGGCCCGAGCATGCACCCCTTTAAAAGGAGTAAGAACCCCTCACAGGTAAACCTGTTTGGGGAATGATGCATTCTTCCTGCATCTCTTGGCATCTCTTGGCTGCTGGCAATGGTTCCCACTCATCGTCAACACCAAAGCAGAACCTGGCTCCAGTAGGAAAGCCATACCAACATCTCCCGGACTTTAACACGTTCTTTGTTCATCAGTCTCTAAGCTTCTGACGACTCGGCGCCACCAATCTTCAGCCGCATGAACCAGAAGACAGCGAAAAGGGCACCCATCTGAAAACAAAAAGGAGCTAAATCAGGAAGTGCAAAACAAGTGTTAAAGTATCACTATAATCATGAGACTTACTCT